GAGACTTGCCCGATTTGTTGCCATAGGCTATCGATTGAAGTCTCCAAGCCTTTAAACTTGGTTTCGAGCTCTGCTTGCTTACTCAACTGCAGGTAACAAATGTTGAAGAAGAAGAAGAAGAAGAAGAAGAAGAGACTCTGCTAAAACTAGTGATGGTAAATGTCAAGAGCTATTGGTAAAATAAATTGATGGTGACTCTTTTTTTCTAGGTAACTAGTTGGCAATTCACCCGACGCTTTTATGAATTTCTAATTTTTTTTTGGAATTTGGAAATTAACAATTCTTGTACTAATTTACCAATATTTATTTGCTTAACTTAAGGGTGCTTCGAATTTACAAGCTCTTATATGAAATTGTCAACCTAAATTAAAGTGATTTACCAACTTTTTGATAGGAAACTTATTTTGGGTTGCCAACTCGTAGTTGAGTTATTTACTTGTGCTTAAATGTTGTTTCCCTCACATGTATTAGTTATTACCAACCTAAATTAGTGTAACCCACAAATAACTCTCCCTTTAAATATCGACATAGTATTGGGTCATCACCTCTCCCTTAAGCTTCCTATCAACATTTATTTGGTTTTGTCTAATTTGCTACTTTTCTTATCATTTAGAAACTTTCATTTGCATTTCTTAGCAATGCTTTCAATTGATCAACATAATAAGTAACTTACCAAGTTTTCTAATTGATTTACCAACTAGTTTTGGGTTACCAATTTTCCTATAAGTTATTTATCAAGTATAGTTTTCTTTATATTACCAACTTTTCTAATCTCTACCAACTTTTTATATACCTTTCTTAATTTTGCCTTATAAATTACCAACTTTTATATGAAAATATTAGCTTTTAGTTTAAGAGATTTATCAACTTTTTTCCGATTAAATTATCAAATAGTTTTGGGTTACAACTCTCTTTTGAGTTAATTACCAATTTTTTGTTTGTTATTTTTTTCTTAATTTACCATATTTTCTATTGTGTTACTTAGTCGGGAATAAAATTGGTAAGTCATCAAATAAAGCTTGGTAGTTTCATATAGTAGTTGCATTTGAAGTGTTGATAAGAAAGCTATGTAAAAGTTGGTATACAATAAGAGAAGTTTTTTTTGTCAGAGATAAGAATAATTTGGTAATTATAAAGAATCAAATGAACGTCGGGTAACTAATTCAAATAAGAGTAAGTAACATAAAATTACTTGATAATTTAATCGTATATCTCCTAGCACGAATTACACGAGCAACACTTACTAACATATTTACTCCAGTTCATGCATAACAGGAGACGTATTATAAGTTTATGCAATCTCTCTCTTATAGTTAGTGTTCGCTCGTTTTACGATGAGAAATATCCTTCACCGAAACTTCAATTTTCGATTTTTATTAAGGTAGGTTCTGTGGCTTGATTACTATGAGAGTTGTGGTGAAAAATAAAGTGTAACACAAGATTGTATGGAATGGATAGACACCGAATGGACTGGAAATGGATCTGAGATCAACAAAGTTTCGAGCTACGTTACAATACTCCTATGAAAGCTGTAAAGGACTTGAAAGTTAACTAAAGCTACAGGAAGTTGTAAATACAGGAAGTAAAGGTGCATAGGAAACTAAAGTGCAGATAAGCTTGAGTGTTTTTACATTGTTGTTGGTCGTGTCCTCTCCTCTTTGCTTCCTCTGAGTATTTGTATCTCCTCCTATCCTGCAATTGCTCGTCGGTTACCTCCATGTTTTCAAACTTTGAATATTTTGGCGCTTCCAATAACTGCCTTTTCTAACCACGTTTTTCCAGTTTTATTGTCCGCCAAAACTTGATCTCAACCGCTAAGATGATTTCAAATTTGGACAAGTAACTTCCCATAATATGCTCGTGCTCACTATCCCCACTTCTGTTCGTAATTTCTTGCTGTCGTGATTTACATGGCTGGGCTGTGATTCTTCAGTGTATTCCCGAAATGTGAACCTCCCGAATTTCGGGAAAGGATCGCTGTCCTGAGGCATATATATTCCAACATCCCGAACTATAACTCTCCATATTTCGGTAAATATACATATTTTCATCAATTACCGAATTCGGGACACGATACCATTCACACTTGCTTCTAAGCATGTTTCTGAATTTGGTCCAGACGTGTTTCGGAAGATGGCTGATTTCCATTATACGCCGGATTCGGCATTAAAGCCGATTCGACACTTATGCCGATTCTTATTGTGGTGTCAATAGTTAGACATCAATCTAACTAAATTAGTCGAATTCCACATGTAATATAATAGCACAAAATACAGCAAAAGGACACTACAAGTGCCATAAGTTGTGTACGGAGATCACTTTGGTGCCATAACTTTTTTTCGGATCACTTTGGTGCCAAGTCGGAGGAAAAAAGATCACTTAAGTGCCAACTCTGATAAGTTTGGCCGAAAATCCGACGTGGCAATTTTTATTAATTTCTGACGCCGACGTGGCTCGCCGGAGGACGAGTCAGCGTGGATAATCAGCATTTTTTTTATTTTAAATAATTTTTTTCATTTTTTTTCCTCTTCTTTTCTCCCCTCGCCGGCCAGTTGTCGGCCGGGCCGGCCACCGGCGAAGCCCAAGAAGGGCTGGGCGAGGGGCGACCTCGCCTGTTGCCGTCGAGGGTCGCCTCGCCCATGGCCGGCGAGGGGTGGCCTCGCCAGTCGCCGGCGAGGGTCGCCTCGCCCAAATCTGGCGAGGCCGCCCCTCGCCGGCGATGGGCGACCTTGCCTGTCGGCTGTGAGGGTCGCCTCGCCCGGATCCGGCGAGGGCGGCCTCGCCCATGGCCGGCGAGGGCGGCCTCGCCGATCGCCGGCGAGGGTCGCTCGCCCGGATCTGGCGAGGCCGCCCCTCGCCGGCCATGGGCGAGGGGCGGCCTCGCCTATCGCCGGCGAGGGTTGCCTCTCTCAAATTTGGCGAGGGGCGGCCTCGCCCATGGCCGGCGAGGGTCGCCTCGCCTAGATCTGGCGAGGCCGCCCCTCGCCCATGGTCGGCGAGGGGCGGCCTCGCCTGTCGCCGGCGAGGGTCGCCTCGCCCAGATCTGGCGAGGCCACCCCTCGCCGGCCATGGGAAAGGTCGCCCTCGCCCAGCCCTTCCCAGGCTTCGCCGGTGGTCGGGCCCGGCCACCAGCAACCGGCCGGCGAGGGGAGAAAAGAAAAAAAAAGAAAAGAAAGGAAAAAGGAAAGAAGAGGAAAAAAAAAAGAAAAAAAAAGGAAAAAAAATTATTTAAAATAAAAAATGCTGACTGTACACGCTGACTCATCCTCCGGCGAGCCACATCGGCGTCAGAAATTAATAAAAAATGCCACGTCGGATTTCCGGTCAAACTTACCAAAGTTGGCACTTAAGTGATCTCTTTTCCTCCGACTTAGCACCAAAGTGATCCGAAAAAAAATTATGGCACCAAAGTGATCTTCGTACATAATTTATGGCATTTGTAGTGTCCTTTTGCCCACAAAATACTTTTGTTAATGTACATTATCGAGCATTTCGCATGATTGTATATCAAATCATAAAAAATAGAATGAAAAAAAAAGCTTGACACGAGTTATAATATCCAACATTACAAAGGTAGGGTTGTTGTTAGGATATTAGAGTTAGAGAACTAACGTTACGGGTAAGTAGTGTCGACTCTTATGTCGCGTAGAAATATCGTGTAGAATCGGGCGGGCAATTTTTATTGTCATATCACGATCACATCGTGTCATAATCGTTTTATGTCACCCTTCAAGCCGAACAACATGGGGCCAGACTAATCTGGCCATGAATTTTGCAATTTGACCAAATTATAGATTATTAAGCAGGTTAGAAGATACGACATGCTCGATAAATCTTGAAAAATTATAAGCTCTAATGCATAGACATGTAAAATGTGTTTAGATGTATCTAAACGGGCCTAGATACATTTTACATGCGCGGTGTTAATAGAACTAACACGAAAAAATATTGACAAAGTTAATCCGCATGAAGCACATATATTATTCGTGTATAAAAACGGATCGATTAAGTTTGCCTCAAACGCTTTCGATACATGTTAGGAAATTGTCGGTCCAATCCTGTTGGGATCACATGGAACGCTATAAAGACTAAACGTCATTTGAAAGCGTATTGATGTTTGACTTTTGGGGTATGGCAGACGAAATAAATTATTATGCAACATTAGGGTCTTGCAAGCATCCAATTGAAATTCTATTGTGGAATAATCAGATCACCATTGCACGCTAGGCGAGAGCTCAATAATTTATGTGTGTTATCTTTCTCGGGCGAACTGAACCAAATGAATACCGGTGCTAATGGCAAAATTAAGCCGTGCGTTACGCATAAAGAATTATATCTTGGGCAAATCTAGCATAGACGAGTTGCAAAAGTTGAAATTATTGTAACGATGGAATGATGCTGAAACGGGGGCAGTTGTCGGTCCTACTTGAAGCGCTAGCTCTAGATCCGACTGGTTCGAGTTTCGAAATTAAATTCCTCCTTTCCAAAGAGAGAGGAGTGCGATTCTTGAGCAGAATCGGGGATCCAACTTGAAGCGCTCGCTCTAGATCCGACTGGTTCGGGAACTGATCGTTTTGACAATCTGGATCATCGGTCTTGAGTTTCTACTTTAAACCAATCCAGCCAAACCATGCTCGCCCCCAAAAACAAAAAAATGGAAATCTTGAGCATATGTATTCCCCTTAGAGGCATGAAACCGTTATAAAATCAAATATATTTCCAAAAATAAGACGTGACAAAATCGCTATAACTGAGATACTATATTTAAACCCGGCTTAGGACCATGTCCCTCTCCCAACCAAATCGCCCCCGTCACCCTCCAGGATCGCGCCACGTGTCTCGTCAAGCACTCTCGAGTCAACGTTTGACTCTAGAGTGGCGGCGGATGTACGAAACTGGCCCTGGATTTTACCCGGAATGGCGACTTCGCCCCTGCGCTGTTGTGGATGTCAGATCTCCGATGCATTCATGGAGCGGATGAAAATAGAGCTTCGTTCGTACTCTCTCTCTCTCTCTCTCTCTCTCTCTCTCTCCTGCGCGCATGAAATTCCATGTTCTGTTCCTCATTCCCGCAAGAGAGGGTGTCCAGCAGATCCATCGGAACACGGGCATTCGATCGAGAGCAAGCGCGGGTTTGTTTGGTAAAGTTTCTCTTTTTATCTTCTTGGTCTTGGGTTTTCAGTGTTTTTTCGAAAGACTTCGAATTGCATTGCGTGAGATCTGTTCAGGTTTTCGGTCGATCGCCTGATCCCTACATTGGGTCGATCGAAGACGGTGTTTTCATGTGTTGCGAGTTCGAAAGAATCCTCTTGGGCGATGTTCTATGGTATAAGTTGGATTGTTGTGACTGCATTGTCTTCGTCACGGCGATTGTTTGTTATGGGTTGTTTTTGTTAGCGCTGCAATAGGGTGGCTTTGCAAACTTTTACAAAAAGGGTAAGGTGTTTCTTAAATTGTTTATGCGTTTGAATGAGGCATGTTTCTTTTTTTGGCTTCATGATGGGCAAAAGTGAGGATGCCGTTTTCTTTGACTCGGCCAAATATCAGTCATTGGCAACATGTGTATATATGCCTACCCAACCAAGAATTTGTGTATATATGCCCTGTACTGTGTTTATAGCACACGTGATTGCTTCATGAATTCATGTTTTGACACTCATCTTTTCTTGGCTTATAATTACAGATCGTATTTCTGGAAGGACAGAAATGGCTTCTCGCGACATTTGCTGAGTTTTTGCTGAACAACTTCTTGGCTTCTCTGGTTAAGATGTTGATGCCAAGGTTGTCCAAGGAATTGAGATGTGTCTTTGTTAGTGCATAAGCAGAAATGAAAGGTGGAAACTCGAACAGACCAAGAGGAAGAAAATTTTCTTTCGGTCTTATAGCACTTCTTTTTGCGACAGTATTACTGTGGATTTGGGAGAAGAATCCTTTCTTAAGCACCCTCCGGTCCGCTCAAGATCAGTTTTTGTTGTCTTCATCAGGTCAGTTGTTGAATCTTTTCATTTGACGGTAGTTACTGATTCTCATGTGCTAACTTTCACCAGAAGTCTTGTGTTGAGATGCTACTAGGGTTGGGTTTCATTTTTTCTTCGAGATCCAGCTATTCTGTTCCTCCTCTTTTCAATTCTGTCTATTTTCTGGGTGCCATCTAGTTTTAGGAGAGAGGATTGTGGGCTTGGCATGGATTACATGCTTGTGTGGAGAAACGGATGTACATGTCAATGCATTGTAATTTCTTTCATCTCGCATTGTAATTTCTTTTCTCATGGAAATAGAGTTAACTCTTTTATCGATTTGAAAATTGAAAGATGAGAGCTTTTGAGGGCAAGGGAAGTTCTATAATGTCTCTTGGAGCACATTGCTTTGCATTTTGTTCGATTAAAATTTGAAAAGATGAGAAAATGGAGTATACTTTCTTTATTTGCTTCTAACAATTATTACATGTCAAAGGATTGGCTCCTTGTTGGCAGCCTAATATTCAGAAGAATTTTGTTCTAAATGCACCCCACTGTTTTCTGAATCTTCACCTTATGCTGTTTTTTTTTTCTGACTATAGCCATTTATGAACATCATGCTCTTATCTCAATATGAATTACTATTGTGTTGTCAGTTGCTTTCGTGTTCTCTATACTCCTAATGTACTTGGACAGATTTTGTTATAAAAGATATTTAGAGGGAATTTACAACAGTAGAATTGGTTAAAAAACTTTAGAAAATTGTTCAAAGGGAGATTTATTCATTTCCTAAGTGTACCATGGGTATAAGTTTCAAATACAATTCCGGGGACTTAGATAATTAAGTGTAGCTGTGCATCGCATTGGGCAGAATATCTGAAGCAGCATTTCTATTGGCAGTTTTAAAGGCTGATGTTAATCGATGGTAAATAACAAAGACAGTATTCAATAGAAGAAACAAATTGCAGTTGAAGATTGTAGGTGTAAGCCAAATTTAGTGATGTTCAAGAAACCTGTTTTTTAGAAGAGTAAAGAGGCATGTGAAGAAGATATACATGACTAACCTAGGATACAGACTGAGTGATTTATGTTGCCAAAAGAGCTCAGCAAACACGTATCTGTATATTGCTGCAATATAGTGCATATGCATGTGTGTACATGCACGCATGTATTTGGATGTCTAGTGTTTTGAAATTAGAGTATCTATATGAGGAAAAATCACGGTAGATAGAGATTGGCAATAAAAATGTCATGATTGTTTGCAATATTCTGCACTTTTCCGAATATACTAGACTGGACACTATATCATGGCTATTTGAAGTAGATTGGGATATCATTCTGGTGATAGCAGACTTTGAACTTAATAAAATTGTTTTCTAGTATTTCACTTATGGTTTGTGCCACAGCTCAACAGACGAGTAACAATTGAGTTGCATCCTGTCTCTATTTGGGTGGGATTTGATCTGATCAATAATAGAAAGTCGAATTACAGTTGAAACTTTTGGCCCAAAAAAAAAAAGTTATAGTTGAAACTGAAGCAGACGATCTTAGGCTTCTCAAAATCTCTTAATCATGTAAAGCTTATCTGTGGAATTGTTTCATAAAACATGGTGAAAATTCTTCTGTCAGTGAGATTCCGGTATAGGTACGCATGTTTGCCCCATTTCGACACAGTTATTTAGGAGGCAATTGCAACAGGAAAGATTATCGGTTATAGCTGAATTAAGGTCCCTCCTCTTGCCAAACGATTAGAAGAGATGTGAATGGACATTTATTTGTGCAAATATCTCTCGGCAGGAAACTGAAACAATTTGAAGAATTCTCCTAGAAATATAAATATCCATGAGTCTCCTCAAGCTTCAATTAGGTGGTTTCGGAGTCACTCCTTCAAAACTCGTCATTGCTGTTAAATTCTCCCAACATAGAAATATAGGATAGGCATTGCTCTGCACTTACACTTTTCAACTTCATCTTAGATGAGACATTGCTGGTGATTTTCTAGATAGGTATAGCATGTGAAGTATCTCAATAGGCTGGATATGACTTTATCGTGAATTTTGATTTATATGTCCTATCTTTCAGTCATTCGAACATTGGTAATTCGGGTTTTGTTATTTTTTGTTTCTGTCAACTTGCTCACGATGCTTTTCTTTCTTGCTTCTCCCTTTCTTTTGGTGGTGGTGTTGGGATTATCCAGATTTCATCTTTGATATACCAAATGACTCCACGGTATCTGCACATCATAAAGAGCATATTGAGGAAGAAGATGCACATGTTACACCAAAACTTTCAAGAAAAGCCGGACAAGGTAGTGATAATTCAGTAATAGAGAAGTCTATTTCTGCACTCTCTCCTAAAGGAAAAGGCACTCGACATAGGAACTCCTCTTCCAAAAGGAAAGGTAGTTTTTCTTCCTGATGATATAATTTTGGATCAAATTTGTGATGATTGAGTCGTCATAATGAAAAAGTATGTGGGATCTACATATTCTTTTGGTCATAAACTTTTATCCGCATTCCTCTTTTTGATGTTCATGGGTCATGCCTAAAATTCATCCAAAGAAACATTCATACAAATGCATATTAGCTTTTCAATGAATTTGTATTTACTTGTACCTTATCTGGAAGCCATGAACTGAGCGCGACCATGTGTCAATAAAATAGATCTCGGAGTCAGTACTTTTTGTTGTCCTTTATATTTGACCACATTTGACCATAGAGTAAGTTTTCGCGAGGAGTTTGTGCAGTGCGCGATCTTCCCCTCTTTCAAGAAACTCCTGTAACTTCCTTCCAGTTAATAGACGAAATGTGAGTAAGAAAGAACATGCCGTCTTGATGGTATATTTTGTTATTATCGACTCATCTATATCTTCTGTAGAGTTGTCATACCATACAATTTATTTTTTGCAGCTGAGAGTACTGAAGTTTTGTGCCTTATGAAATACAAACAGAGGGAGAATTGCCTAATCGTGTTGGGATACGTGCAACTGATTTTAACATGTCTACTCGGCTGAAATTTAGTACATTTAAGGCATAGCTTGTTGAATAATCAAAATGAGAGTCCTTGAGAAACATGTCTTCAGATTTTGGCCTATAAGTTGATATTGCTTTTTCTCCTAGCCAATTTAATTATGATGAGCACTGGGAGATCTAAATGAGAAATGTCGATCTATTCTACTTTCTGCAGGAATTCGGTTTTACTTTTTATCTCTGTCATTAGTAATTGGCATATCAGCAAGTATGATACGTAGGTTTGAGAAAAACATACTACATTCCTGTGTTTTATCTTAGTCAAAGTGCTTTTCTTCATGGATGCAGTCTGCAATTATGCTAAGGGTAGATGGGTTGCAGACAAGAGCAGACCATTGTATTCGGGATTTGGATGCAAGCAGTGGTTGTCTGAGATGTGGGCCTGTAGACTGACGCAAAGAACCGATTTTTTGTATGAAGGATATCGGTGGCAGCCGCAAAATTGTGAAATGCCTGAATTCGAGAGATCTTCATTCTTGAAAAGGTTTTCTTTTCTTGCATACCTTCCTTTTAGCTTGCAATGCTACATATAAAACATTCCTCTTGTGCATAATCACTTCCTCTTGGCACTATCGACATTCCTGGAACATAGATAGATATGTTTTGTCCTATATAATCGGAGATATTTTGCCTACTAGAATTGAGATGTTCAAAATTCATAATTTCTGTTCTCAGATATCATTGGATGCTTTCCCTACATGTAGAAGTTTCTTTCGTTTGTCCAAAAGGTCTCTGGTTCCTTCTTTCTGCTATCCCTTCCTTCTGCTTAAAAAGAAAAGAAAAGCAGAAAAAAAGTGTCTTACAGAGATCGATAGGAAGTTTGGCATTGCTCTCATTCTGCTTGTTTTTGCCTATGATGTCTTGAAAACATCTTTACTTTCAGAATGCAGGACAAAACTATTGCATTTATAGGAGATTCACTCGGGAGGCAGCAGTTCCAATCTTTAATGTGTATGGTGACTGGTGGAGAAGATAGCCCTGACGTTGAAGATGTCGGAGTCAATTATGGGCTTGTTATTCCTCCTGGAGCCATTCGTCCTGATGGTTGGGCGTTTCGATTGCCAAGTACGAATACAACTATATTATACTACTGGTCTGCCAGCCTCTGTGATCTCGAGCCCTTAAACATCACTGATCCATCAACAGATGTCGCTATGCATTTGGACCGTCCTCCAGCTTTCATGAGAAAATTTCTGGATACCTTTGATGTTCTAGTTCTGAACACAGGACATCATTGGAACAGAGGTAAGCTTAATGCAAACAAGTGGGTCATGTATGTCAATGGAAGGCCAAATAAAGACCGAAATCTGGCAGCAATTGGAAATGCCAAAAATTTCACAGTCCATAGTGTTGCAAGGTGGGTAGACTTGCAGCTTCCTTCACATCCACGTCTCAAAGCTTTCTTCAGAACCATTTCACCTAGGCACTTCCTGAATGGGGAGTGGAATACTGGGGGTAGCTGCGATAACATGAGCCCCTTATCTAAAGGAAGCGTAGTTTCGCAAGACGAATCAAATGATTTGGTAGTGCAGAGCGCTCTCAGGGGTACAAAGGTGAAAATTCTGGATATAACTGCTCTTTCTGAATTGAGAGACGAGGGACACATATCTCGTTTCAGTGCTAAAGCCAGTGATGGTGTCCGGGATTGCTTACACTGGTGCCTACCTGGCATACCGGACACATGGAATGAAATCCTTTGTGCACAAGTATAGTTCCAAAGGATGGTGCCGAGGATGGATGAATATTAGCTGTTAAAATATTAGTATTTTCTTGGGCACTTTGGCTGTGGAACGTCTGTCCCTACCGCAGATACTTAGTCTCCGGTAGTAACTTGGGAAGCAGAAGCTTGGTCGCTGCTAATTTTATATAGGGTTTTGGACGAGGCCGCTGGGTCCCTGAAAGTCGACTTGCAGATAGAAAAGTTTTTTTATAGATCTAGGGAAATGGATGTATTCTGGATGCTGTAACATATTCTTTTCAGTCATAATATAGTTATTAATGTTTTGTTGCTTCAAGTCCAGAACTGCAGATCACATCATACTAAATTGATGTACTCCTATTTTGCGGCTAATTGTTTAGAAGCGCCGCAGAACTCGGTATCTGCAATTCTGCTAAATACCTACTATTGTCTTCACTGGCAAAGGAGAGCAACTTATGCAGCACAAGTTCCCTGACCTGATAAAAGACAAAAGGAAGGAAAATCCAGCACAGAGACTTTCTGGTTTTTATGAGACACCTCCCTCTCCATCCTATAGATTACTTTCTTTGTTCTTGTTGCTCTGAATCATCAAATAAAATTGACTACCGATGATTAATTCAGAAATTTTTTCGTGGTTTGAATACATCAAATACACAAATAAAATTGTAGGTAGAGCTTTCATTTACCGAGCTTATGTGCATCTCAGAAATATTCTACAAACAAGTCGAGTTTGAAGTTTATGGACATTTAGATTGGCGCTTCTGCAAATTTCTTTAAGCTCCGAACAAAGTGCACAACAAAAGTACATTGGATATTCAGTACTTTGATTATTTATAGTAATAAAAAAATTGTGTACTACATTTGAAGTTAAATTACTTATTCATTCAGAGGCTGGAACAGTATGGAAAATTCAGGTTCTGACATGATCGCAGATCTGAGGTCTAGCTCCCACCATGATAGAACTCAAGCCAGATTGGGGGTCGAGCATGACGTGTGGCAGTGCTCGATCTGCCAATTAGGGTCGACCTTGAAGCTGCAAGCGGAGCTTGGCCCAGATGGAGTCGACCTCGAGTGTCGCGGCGGAGCTTGCTTGCATACTACTAGTGGTTTGGTGCACTAGTATATGGAAATATCAATGGACTGTCCACATGTGGCGAGAAGCAATCATATTGCTACTCAAGCAGCAGCCAATTCTTGCCTGTAATTTATTAGCAACTAGAACGCAAAAATAATTTCGAAAGTTCACCATATTAAAAAACCCCAATTCGATTTAATGTGTTCCTGATATAGCTGCGATCCAGGGACTCGCTAAGTAATAAACTTGAACCGCTTGTAAGCTAGCGATAACCCTTCAGGAAAAAGAACAGGTCCTCAAAAGGCTTCGTTTGGGCCTCAACATCCCTGAACATTAAGCACATAGAGGGTAGAGGCAACTCCCATGCCTCGAAAAAGATAGTGGTCGGAGTTTCTCCTGTGTAAGACAGGGACCTAAGCAGGTCTATAAAAGGTGTTGTCCGGGCCTTGTGCGGACCTCGACATAGCTGGACCTTAAGTACATAGAAGGTAGAGGCAATTTGAGCCTCGTGTGGACCTCGGCATTCTTGGACATTAAGCACATAGAGGGTAGAGGCAACTTCCACGCCTAGAAAAAAAGATAGTGGCCAGTGGTTCTCCTTTGTAAGACTTGGACCCGAGCATGTCCTAAGAGGCTCCATCTCGGTTACCGTTCGGACCTCGGATTACCGAGATGCAAAACTTCTACTAAAGGGTATTCTTTTTTCACAGGAAAGAAAAATATTTGGAAAAAATCAGGGTGCGAAACGTGAGAGTACCTACATGTTAAACTAAGAAACACATTCGTGAAGCTCATCATTTCTATATATTAAAGGAACAGGTTGCGGAGGCCTTTATAGAAGTTTTGGCTTTCTTCCTTAAACGAGGTTACTTCTTAACCAACACCTTGACACGAGACAAAGATTCGCATGAAAATGTACCTTAATCAATTTGTCATGGACCAAATTGAAGGTCAAACTCAAAATCCAGGCGCCAATTGAAATTGAAAAAGAAAAATGGCGCTTAAAAAAAATTCGGAAATTTTTATATTTTTTGGTTCGATACAAAAAATCAGAAAGTATTAAAAAACTTAGTTTTTTTTTTTCAAGCAGAGCCGGAGAGCGATCGCCGGACCGCCGCCTCCAAAAATGCCGAAGAGGCGGCGAGTGCCGCACGTCCTGTGGAGGCTGTTCCGCGACCGCGCGCGACCGCTCGCCGACGCCATCGTCAGGCTGCTCCCCCCACCACCGCCGGCGGCGGCGGAGGCGGCGGCGGGGGCGGAGCGTTGCCGGTGGTGCGGGGGGAGGCGTTGCCTCGGCTGCGTCCGCGGCGGAGGAGGGGCGGCGGTCGCGTCGTTCCTCCTCAGGCCCGACGATCCGTCCGAGTACCGCAGGCTCCTCACCCGGTGCTTCGTCGTCGTCGGCGACGATGCGCCTCCGCTCTCCGACTCGAGTCCTCTCGCTCGCTGGTCTCAACGCCAGGTACGGCCGTGCATTCCATTCCACCGGAGATAGATTCTCAGGTCAATCTAGTGTTGGCTTTGTCCAAAAAGGCGCGGACTTGCACGAACTTTTTGGGACTTTTGTTTGGTTTTTTTCTCTGTTTGGAACTTGAGATGAACATGGTGTTTTGAAGTTGTCCCATTTGAATAATATATCTAGGAGTTTCGGTTACGTAGATACGAGAAGTATTGACAACAATTTCTTTGTAGCAGCGACTTTGTCAGTTTTTGAAGGTTTGATTTTTAATATTGTCATCAGTCAAATTGTCTTTTTGTGCTGACTTTCAGCTTTCAGCTATCAATCGCCCAGGAAGCACGGATACTCTCCGGGGGCCTCCATGTCGGTGTTGGACATGTGTTGGAAACCGACACTTGTCCGGCACTCTTTTTTTATTATTTATTTATTTGTGGATTTGAATCAAATTAATTTGATTGAATTAATCATAAAAACGATAATTTATTATGTATATATGAATATATGCATTTAATATATAATTTGTCCTAACGTGTCAAAATTCTCTATTTTTTGAGAAATGACGTGTCGGCGTGGCGTGTCGTGTCGTGTCGTGTCGGTGCTACTTAGTCAATCGCTTCTAGTTGCACTGGCTTTTGTTTTCTGGTATATGCGTTTGGCGCAGGATGTATCTCTCCCTTACTATAACTAGTCCTTAATCGTCCTGTAGATTGTATTGAGGACCATCGAGATGGTGTGCTCTGAGAGTTCAGCACCCGGCAATGTAATAGCCAATGGCTTTAGTAAGGTAATTAGCCGTTCTTCATTGCAAAGGCAATCATGTTTTTTTTTTTTTGGTTAAAAGGCAATCATGTTTTTCTTGCTCCTACCTGCAACATTCAGCTTTGCTCAAGTTTCATGCTCCGTTTTTTTAAGAACTTGTTGTTTTATGTCTGTATTACTTGTGACACTGCATTGTTTTCTGAAGTCGTATTAGCATATTGCGGTAAGTCGTTTTTTTTCTTCGGGCAGATTTAATAGTCAGTTTTATATTTCATCTCTCTCTCTCTCTCTCTACCACATAGTTTTGGAAATAATTAAGTCAAAATATGTTTTCTTCGGAGATTAACAAATTGTTGGTATGAATTTATACCTGTCCTTCTCCCTGTGTGGCAAGCTGGGATCTAAGGATGCGAGCTTTTATAATCATCAATTTTAAATACTGTGATAGTATTTCTCGTTATGGTTGTCGTTTGTTTCTTTTAAAATAAAGCTTAATAAGTTTAAGACTTTCTCTAGTCGAGTTAGATTGTGAATGAAGAATCTATACCAAGTGAATTTTAATTTCTGTCAACAGGATAACCATTCTAGTGTTGCTGTCGAGCTTCTAACTTCTTCAGCCTGGTGCCTTCTCTTAGAAAGGGTATGTCATGGCAAGATTCTGATCAGTGGATTTTTCAACTTCTTCTGCCTTCCCGTTGTTGGATCTGGTGTTTAAACATATCAGATAATCGTAGTTGGGACCTTGGATGAACTGAAAAAATTCTTATCTGCAGGTTGGTGACAGTGTAATGATGTACTTGCTCAAGTGTGCATCAATCTTTTTGCCATATCCTTGTAAGAAACACTTTCAGGTGGCTGGACTTCCAATCACAAAACTGGACAATATGCTGTCGAAGCATTCACTAGAATCCCACTCTCAACGTACTTATTTGTTCCAATAGGGTAGTATATGAGTTCAATGAAAGTTTTATAATTGATTGTTTATCCAACTGCTTCCTTGATGGCAGTGGCGGACCAAAATTTCGAGGTTAGGGGGGTGAGACACAAATTTTACATTAGAATATAATACATAATTGTTTCTGAAAATTTTTCCTTATGTAACATGAATTTTTTGGACCTAAAGGGGTATTGGGGGGGGGGGGGGGGGTGTGGAGGGGGACCAGCTTCCTCTAGGTCCGTCAATGCATCCTTTCTATTGTATTTGTCACACATATGTTAACTTGGTTCTCTTAGAATAACATCATAATATGAAACACAATGGGTTGAGGAAAACCCAATTAAGGGGTGAAATTTGCTAATCATGACATAAAGTTAGGACAATTGCTGTATAAGGATGATGACAATGAAGAAATTGAGAGTTCAATGCATTATTTTCGAAGTCTTTAATGTAAAAAGATTAGAGAGGTCATCAGGAATGGTTTCACAGTTTCTATTCACATTTTTGTTTTCATAATTACCAAATCAATGGATATTGATAGTCAACCGAGGAAAGATGAGTTTACGTGATTTGAGATGACTGAAGTGGCCAATTGAGATGATTTTACTGAATTTTTCTAGGTAAAATATAGGTGATTTAGAGATCTTATAAAATAAGCATTAAGGATTCATGTCTTTCTATATCAAAATCTTTCCTGGTAGTTATATTGTTGTTTCTCGACCAAAATAGAGGATAAGTTTTATTTGTAACATGGCTTCCAATGTTCTTAAAGCATGCTGGTGCTTTATGTAATTGAATTGCAGGTGCTCCTATTATACATTTGTTTCTTGAAGCAAATGCCCACTGTCTAGCTTCTATTTGGGAATATTTTTCTGTATGTTCTGTTAATGAGTGCCCTGGGAGCTTGTTAAGCATACTCGATAAAGAATATTTCAACTCTCAAAAGCATTGATTACACATGCATGTCAATAAAGTTAGTGCATTGGAAACCATAAAGTTTACTTAATTGATCATTTAACGGTTGTCCCTGAGGCACTTGTTAATAAAATCCTCTCTTATATGGTCCTACACTGCAAAATGTGCTGGTTT